TTTTGAGCGCTGCCTCCAGCCGTGGGAGCACTCAGCGTTCTATTTTATTAAAGGAACTCCATGCCAGTCACAAGGGGGTGATTTAGCCCAATTCAATTAGGAGCATAGATCTCCTCATCTTTCTATTCAAGTCCTCATATGTGGAACCGAGCCTGAGTCAGCTCCAGTCTGGACACACACTCTCTCTGCTAGGCCTGGGCCTTCAGCATGCAGCCACCTCCACACACAGCTCTCGCCCTCCTGAGGAGTGTCTGCACAGAGCACAGTCCGACAGCTGTTCTTCCTGTGGTGGAATCGAGGGTTCGTGTGAGAGGAGGGAGGGAGGGGCTGGAAGGTGGGCATTCTGCATCAGCCTCTACACTATTTCAGAGCCGTAATGTTCTGACTAAACCGCTGTGCTCTAATGCGATGGTCATTAGAAGTGATTTCCTTGTGGAAAGTTCCAGAGTGTTTCCCATCAAAGACTATCTCAAAACAAGGAACGAGATGAAAACCTTATTGGGAAGCAATTAAATATAAACTTGATCATGGCAGTGATATACAATAATAATAATGATCACTTGAGCAAGGGCCCTCCTGTGGAAGTTCACAGACAAATAAATGTGAAATGTACGGTCTGGTGACAGACAGGGATGCCGCACTGCTGTGGACACGTGCGTCACACACACAGGAAGAGCAGAGCTGTCATCTCCCCACCTGGGGCCAGGGTTCTCTTCCAGCTGCATCCCTACCTTTCAGTGTCTGTCTCAAAGAGCAGCTGCCACACTCTCCTGGAATCCTCGCCAGCTCCCCTGCCTAATACCCGCTGCTCAGCTGGCCCCACGACTGGCGTGCGAGAACGCGTTCTCCTTGTGAACAGGTCATCCCGGGTCTTAGAATCTTGTTCTGCTCTCTCACCGTCAGGGCTTCACGGATTCGCATATTCATTCCACAGACCATCCTTGGCCATTGCCTTTGGACAGAGCTTGTATAAAGGCCTTAATCTTGTCCCCTGGTGCGAGCTCACTAATCCGTCCTCCTGCTCTCCCCACGCTGAGCAGCTTTTGGTCTCTGTTTTCCAGACTAAATGGTGGCCTTCTGTATTGGAAAGACAAGCCAGACTCCTGAAGTCACAGGGGACATGTGGGGCTCCCTCCCTGTCAGTCTAGCCTCAGGCCATTTAACCAGGAGGAACAGCAGCCTAAGGGGACCCAGTGAGCTGAGGACCCCAACCCAGCAGACCCCAAACAAAGCACCTAACATTGAAAACAGTGGGGAATGTGTTAAAAATTCGTCTGCAAGAGATGAGATGTGTTGCATTGTTAGAACAAGAAAGGCATCTGAAATTGAATTCGGATTACCAACCAGGAGCTGTGGCAGGCAGTGCCCTAGCTATTCAGTAGAGAACTGAGGGGAGGAGCACAGAGTGGCTGGGAGGGAGGGGGGGAATGCAGGGCCCCCCCACCATCTGGGCCTTGACCAGTCTTGGCAAAATCCAAAGTCTGCCAGACACTGGCGAATGTCTGTCAAGAGCAGAATGGATTTAAAAATGACGGCCTTTCCTTCGATGTAGTGTGAATGATGATGAGTGAAATGAAGTGAAAGTGGATTTTGTAAAACGACATGTAACAACAAGGCTGAATCATCCAGAGAGAAATGAAAGGAGCCAGACACACCCCCTCAAAAATGCATATTGTATGATTCTATTTATATAAAGTCCCAAAGCAGGCCAAGCGGACCTGTGGGGCTCGAGGTTTGAAGTGCTTTCTGTGGGGGAGGGGCAGGTGGAGACTGGGAGGAGACCCCAGGGTGGTTTCTGGGGCGCTAGCAGTGTTCTCTTCCCGGACCTGGTTGTAACATGAGCTTGTTCACTTTGTGATAATTCGTTGAGCAGAATGCTTATGATTTGTACATGTCTTATGTATGATGGTCTTCAAAGAAACCCAACCCTTGGATTGGGCAGCCCTGTCCATGGGATTTGGGCTTGCAATTGCTAGCGAGGTTCTCGGAATTTCCTGTCTCACATGCTAGGCCCATTTCTAGAGTCAGGGTAAGTGGTTCAAAGATCCGAACCACTTAGAGCAACAGTGGCAAGGGGGCAGGGCAAAGTAGGGACTGTACTCGCTTTGGGGACCACCTGATACCAGGTTTTAGGAGTAAATCCCACAGAACGGTAGCGATGAGATGGGTGGGTTTCCAGGGATTTGCTCAATTCTGAGTGCACCCAACTGTGCGGATTTGTAGACAGTGGGACCTCAGATCTGTTACTTTGAACTTTCACACACCCTTTCTGCCATGGAGATCGGGGTCAGCGCAGGCTGTGGGACCGTGGCTGTGCTTTTCCACCTGGGGGTGTGGCTCTTATTTCTCAGAACAGCAAGCTACCAGGGCAAAAATTGCCAGATTTCTTTCTCAACTCTTGGCCTGGGTGAAGATCCATGGCTCCATGGAAAAGGGCAATGAAGGAAGGCTTTTGGAAAGAGAGGGTCTGAGCAGGCTCAGCACTGATAAAGAAGAGGGGTCATATCACAACAGGACATGGCGGGTGGGAAGGCATGTCTGAGCAAGATAATGGGAGGAGGCTAGGGAAGGGAAAGTCCCTGAGGATTCAGAGGCGAGAAAGGCAGAGCAGCTGGTCCCGGGCAAGGTGTGGGAGCGGCTGCCTTGCTACAAAACGGCTCTCTAATTCCAAACCTTCTATTTCCAAGCCCTAGTCACACCCAGGGAGCCAGGGAGCAGTGGAGGTCATTGCCCTGGGGCAGAGGTGTGGGGCTGACTTTTTCCTAATTGGACTCCAGATATTTGGAGCCATTTGCCACTATCACTACCACTAAAAATCAGGTGCTCCCCTCCAACTGGGGAGAGCAATCTTGATCAAGAGCCTGTTTGCGATGGGAGGGGGGATTCAGAGAGGCAGATTCCATGTTTATCCCCAGCCTCGTGCTGGTCAGCCATAAAAATGGCCAGTGGCAGCGGAGGTGGGCCCAGCGCTGGGAAATGCCGGCAGGTGTGGTCAGCACTCCCATTCAGCACAGGAGGGAGCAGCTGTGATTGTCTTTCTCTCTGAAGGTTTATGTATCCGACCATGTTTGTCCTGCTGGAGAGCGAGATGTGGAATGAGGGGGAAATCGTTACTGGGACGCAATAATGACACCATGGTGCGTGCGTCCAACTCCCCGGCACAGGTGTTTCAAGGCATCCGGAGGGGCGCATGGCTAGTAACCAATCTGCAGGGAAGTCAGGAAGTCCTGGAGAAAATGCTTTCTTTTTAGCACAGAAGATGCTTTTGGAAAGCATTTTTATATGAAAATGTTATCGAGGAGAGCTTCTCGGAGCCTGGGTCAGGGCGCCAGAAAGTATAAGCAATGACAGCATCTGCTCTTGCGGCCCCACCCAGCTTCCCTCGCCCAGGCATTTCTTTTGCAAAACACATGGGGCCCCAATTCTGAGGAGAAGTCTGCATAGCATCTGGCCGCGCCCGAAGGTGTGATTTATAACCTGTCGCGCTCAAGCATGTTGGTGCAACTGCCCAAAGAGCAGGGAACTCTCAATCAACGCACAGTATAGGGCTTCGCCAGCCAGTGGGAGGCGGTTCCATCCCTGAGCCCAGCTAGGATCACCAGATCTCCAGGACTAAGAGCTTGTCTGGGGTCACTGGGCCCTAAACAAGCTGGGTCAGTGGCAGTCAGGTGTTTGAGGTGCCCAGGCCCCAGTGGGGCGGGTAACTGAGAGGGCCTCCCTGGGCCCTGGCTCTCCAGACCCCAGGCCGCCCAAGGCATGGCAGGTCGGCTGTGTCTCTGTGGTCTATCCCCATCGAAGGGAGAGTAATCACCCCGGTGATCACAGACTGTCCGCAAATCCGATAACTCCTCGGATTTGCCAGAGTTCTCTGTCCTGGTGACACATGACAGTTGACCAACCTGCTCTGTACTTCAGCTTCCTCATCCGTTAAAGGGGCTACCAGTGGGGCTCCAGTGAGGGTTAACCGAAATGTAAGAAATTGGGGTACTCAGCACAGTGTGCAGCCCATAAATAAGTGCTCCATGCATAAACCCGTTATGAGTCTTCAGCAGCTTGATTTCCGGAGATGATTCTGAGGCCTTAGATGGACCAGCGGTTTCCAATGTACAGTCTGGGAGAGGGAGTGCGGCTAGCAGGCCCCGAGGAAAGGCAAACTGGCTCCCTCCCAGAGCCCCGAGAGGAGAGAGTCACTGATGGCACCCATACACCCAGACCTCTGTTCCCCTAAGACTTCCTTTCTGAGAGTGCTGGGGGGTGGGAGGGAGCAGGTGGACCCAAGCTCTCAGGAAGCCCATTAGGGAGTGTCCAGCTGGCAAATGGGGAGCCGCCCTCTGGCCAGGAGAAGTGGGCCACAGCTGGCCTTCTGGGCTCGGCAGATAACACTCAAGCGTGTCCAAGGTCCCACGGTGAGCAGTCTTACCCCTGGCCATTCCTCCCTTTACTTAAAAATATTTTTTTTTCCTTAATCAATAAAGAAATTTTTTAAAAAGAATGCAAAAGAAACCTTTTTTTTCCCCTAAGCATTTGCACTCTGTTCATCAATTCCGTTGTTTTCAGAGAATTGCGTGGAGTCTAAAGAAAAAAACATTTAGAGGCTTTAACACTGGTTCCCAGGTGAAAATAATATTAACAATAAATTTCTTGAAATTCTCAGCCCTACAGGTTCAGTGTTACCTAACACTCGGCACCCAGGGGACTTGAGTCATTACTGGGTTTGTCATGTCTTGTTTCTGGGCCTTTTCCAAAGAAAGGAGAGAGAAGCCACCTGGAAGTTCACCAGAGTTCACTGCATGGTGCATGGCCATGCCTGTAGCCAAGATTTCCAGATCCTTCTCCACCTGCACCTCCGGAGGAAGTCCCCGCCCCCAAACTGTGTGGCATCAAGGAGGCCCAGTTAGTGTTGTGCCCAGTGTTGCACTGCTTTGCTTTTGACTGGCAGAGCGAGGCCCTCCCAGAACAGTCCCCTTCTCGCACTCAGGACGACATGTTGTTGGGTGGCTGCTGGGTGGGAGAGAGCAAGTTTCCTTTGGGGTGTGCAGACAGAGCCGGCTGCCACGGGCTGCCCTTGAACGTGGTCATCTGATGACCTCTGCTGGTGGAAGTTCCCCCGCGTGTGCACAGATGCCCAGAGCCAAGCCCAGACCATGTTCCTGTCCCCACATCCCTTCCCTCCTGGCTTGTCCTTCACAGACAGCAGGGAGCAGGAGGCCTTTGCAAACCCCCGGAATCAGGGGTGCCTGGGCCAGGCCAGACTGTGCCCCTAAAAGCGTGCTGCCGCCCTCTCTTCCAGTGAGCCTCTGATCCCCGCGGACCCAGCAGGCAGCCAGCATGATGGAGAGCGCGCGATCCACGGGTGTGTGTGTGCTGCTGCTCTTCCTCCACGTCCACCTGCTGAGCGGTAAGTCGGGGTGGCCCTGCCCTCTTACGCTGCTGGGGTGTGTCCTGGGGGCGGGAGAGTCCCTCTCAGTCCATTCCCTGTGCAGTTCTGGGTCACAGGTCAAAGCGGAATGAAATTAAGGAAAAATGAAGGGGAAAGGAAGGAAAGGAGATGGGAAGGGGGAGGGAATGAAGAAGCTGAGGGAGGAGCACTAGTGACACAATGAATCACAAGAGATCAGACGTTGAGTTCCTTGTGAGGGAATGGCAGAAAGATGGAGATCAATGAGCAGAGTGACAAGTGCCAGGGAGCACTGTGACAGCAAAGGGGGGGTGATTCAGTTTAGGGCCACCGGCATGCCGTGGGCAGGTACCAGCTGCATAGACTCCATGGGCTTACAGAAGGGCCGCATACTCCTCAGCCCATCCTACTCCTCACGTGCACTCTGTTGGAATTCTACACTTGTCACTTGATCCTAGGTTGCTATTATTTCCATCTCACACAGTACACACATACACACCACCACCACCACCACCACCTCTCCATTTCCACTGCAAAGCTATCTCTCTCTCTCTCTCTCTCTCTCTCTCTCTCTCTCTCTCTCTCTCTCTCTCTCTCTGTCTTTCTCTGCATCCTGCCAACAAGGGGCAGCCCACAGAGAAGGGTTGCTAGATGCTAGCACTTTGGCATTTCTGAGCTCCCCACCCCTAGGCCTCTTCACCCCAAGACCTCATTGCTGGCGGGGTCCCCTGAACCTGCTCTTGTCACCAGCAGGGTGACGGAATGCTTGAATGGGCCTTGAGATTGATTCCAGCGGCTTCTGGCTTTTTCTAGGACAGTCACCTCCTGAGAAGCCGAAGATATCGAAATGTCGCTCCAAGGAGAAGGAGACCTTCATGTGCTGGTGGAAGCCGGGGCTGGACGGAGGCCTGCCCACCAACTACACGCTCTCCTACCACAAGGAAGGGTGAGTGCTCCCGCTCTCCGGCCGCGCAGGGCTGCTTTGAGTGAGCACTCCCACACGGCCCCGGGGGTCTCCTTCTTCCCGGAAGGGGCCCAAGCATCCGTGTCCGCCTTCTCCTGTTAATGACCTTGAAGCGCTCTCTCAGTGTGCGTCAGCTCATCCACCACCCCAGCAATACCACGTAGTGTCCCCTTAGCTGGAGTTTTGCTTTCAGGGGTTTTAGTGACTGGTGATCAGCCACAGTCCAAAAGCATTAGATGGACAATTCCAAAAATAAACAGTCCCTAAGTTTTTAAATGGTGTGCTGTTCTGAGCTACCTGGTGACATCGCACCTGTCCCATGTGTCCAAGGCGAGTAGCTACCCACGTGTTAGTCACGTGGGTTATCCTATCTATCAAGTAGCCCCATAGTTGCCTAACCCTACGTCACATGCCTGTGTCCTCCTCACGCCATCTCATCCCATCGGCCCATGTCACCTCACCTCATCAGGAGAAGGGTAAGTACAGTAGCTTAATGTATTTTGAGAGAAAACATTCATATAACTTTTATTACAGTATATTGTTACAATTGTTCTACTTTAATACTAGTTATTATTGTTAATCTCTTACTGTAGCTAGTTTATAAAATTAAACTTTATCATAGGTACGTATGTATAAAAAAGCAACGATATATATGTGGTTCGGTACTCCCCAGCAATCCAGGCATCTACTTTGGATCTTAGACACATCCCCATGGGAAAGGAGAGTCTACAATAGCAATGTTTCCAATTGCCTGTCCCAGACGGAGGCTGCAACCCAAGGTCCCATATAAGTGTTGGCTGAATGTTAGTTCATTTCAAATGCTCATCTGTGAGCCTCGTGCTATTTGTAATTTTTTTAGTAATAATTATTTTCGCAACATAAAAAGACAACCATGGTCCATGAGCTTTTCAAACTAGTGTTGTGTCCAAGAACATGAAGACCCCTACCCTTATAGGAAGGGGAGGGTTTCCCCTTGGGAAATGGCTAACCCCAGACCCTTGATCTCCCAGAGGGTGTGTTTGGAGCCCAGGATGCAGTGCGGACTGAAAGAGGTCACCTGTGGGTGAGGCTTTTGTCACCTCTCAGCGAGAGCCTCCTGGAAGTCCAGGGAGAGCCGCCTCCTTCCCCGGGGAAGCACCGCTTACTGGTAGCAGCCGCTGGCCCGCCGCCCAGTGCCTGCACTCTGTGCACACAGAGCTGTCAGCCCTTCTGGGAATCACAGGGTGGCAGGTCACCTATTCGGGAGCTCCACTGGCGGCCCGAATGGGATGCTTCTCCACACCTGTGCGGAGCGTCTTGCGCTGAGGCCCCCAAGGCCCGGGAGAACAGAATGATGGGCAGCTTGGGCCTGAAATACCTTTCTTCTCAGCCACATCACTGTTGCCGACTTGGTGCAATCTGAAATATGCTGGCATCAGCGTTTATTCTCTTGCACCTTTTGTAAATGAAGTGTAATTCAATATACGTGTGCAATGAATGCTGCATGTGCATGCCCCCTGGGTGTTATGTGGGGGAGGGGGGGAGAGGCCCCCATTTCCTGAGATGACCCAGGGGCAGGACCGTGGGCACGGTGATGCCTTGGTTGTGGAAAGTTCCAGCATCTATCGGCAGGGGACATATGTCACAAAGCCCACAAAATACTATGGAAAGAAAGGGTTGGTGAGAAGCGGAGTCTGCAAGCTCTGAAGGGACACTTCCACCCTCTTCCCCAGCAGTCTCTCCCCGGTCTCACTCCCTGAGCACAAAGCCTGGGGGTGCCGTGCATCAGCGCTGATCCCCAAAATCCAATGGTATTGAGCTATTAAGAAAAAGCTGGGCTGAAACAGGTTTGGCTCAGTGGTAGAGCGTCGGTCTGCGGACTGAAAGGTCCCGGGTTCAATTCCTGTCAAGGGCATGTACTTTGGTTGCGGGCACATCCCCAGTAGGGGGCGTACAAGAGGCAGCTGGTGGATGTTTCTCTCTCATCAATGTTTCTAGCTCTCTCTCTCTCTTCCTCTCTGTAAAATATCAATAAAATATATTTTAAAAAAAGAATGTAACCCTTTAAAAAGAAAGAAAGAAAGAAAGAAAGAAAGAAAGAAAGAAAGAAAGAAAGAAAGGAAGAAAGAAAGAAAGAAAGAGCTGGGCTCTTCTTACTACTTCCTTACTCACTCCTAGTATATAATACGTTGCAGGAGTTCATTCCTCTATGAATGTCCGGACTACAGAACCGGTGGCCCCAACTCCTGCTACTTCGACAAGAAGCACACCTCCATTTGGACCATCTACATCATCACAGTCAATGCCACGAACGAGATGGGAATGAGTTCCTCAGATCCGTTTTTCGTGGATGTGACCTACATAGGTAAGGGGATGGGGGAGGGATTTCTTACTCCATCGCAGACCTAACAACAATTGGAGTCTTCCTGGCTTATGAATGAATCACCAGAAAGGAAGATGAGAAAATGCACACTGTTCTCATCTACTGATAATTTTTATTGAATCATTCATGACGGTATTTGGGGGTCCTTGTGATTCTCTTCTTCCTTTGTCCTTTCATCTCATCCCCTTGCACACAACAGGAGTGTTCTATTTGTGCTTCTCTTATCGATCCTTCCCTCCAGCCCTCCTCCTGCAATCAATGCCCCCTTCCCCCGCCGCAAGCTGGAACTTCTGTTCTCCTCCCCCCCCACTCCCCCTCTCCTGCTGAAGGACAGAGCTGCTCACCAGAGTAGTAGCTCTTGGAGTTCATCTGCTTCTACACCCACACGACCAGCTCCAGCTGCTTTACCCACATTGAATTCTCAGTGTATAAGTACTTCTTAGCAACCGGAACTCTTCTTTTACAAAGAATTTGGGGAGTGAAGCGTGTTACTTGAATAGCAGGCTGAAGGCCACAACCACACATACAAGGTTTGTGGACTTTATTAGCAAAGCAAAACAAAGCCAACCCAAGAGCTGTTTCTTGCTCTGCATGATCCACATTGAGCTGCAGGGCAAGTGGGCATCATTGTAGTGGCCTCTGGGTTTAGCATGGATAACAGAGGGAATCTTAGGACAAGACATGGGTTAGCCAGGACTAGGGTCAGCCCTCAGCTTTGATAATAATCTTGGGAGAAGTGTTTGATTCAAGGTTACCTAAGATTTACCTAACGCCACCCAACAAGGAAAATTAGACTGGGAATCTCAAATATGTACTTGTATGTCATTGCTTTGTCATGTTATCAGTGGCTAATACCACCAACTGGCTCACATTTGAATGTTTTCTGCCCCCGGCAAATCATTGCAATAAGCATGGAGGTAGAAAATGAATTGAATCTTAGTTTAGGAAAATCCAAAAGGTAACCCCACTGACAAGTCAGAATACAGTAAATTTCAGGCATATAAATTTACTTGAGATATGAAGTCTTTAAGATGCTAAATGCCAAATAATTTCTTATTTATGGTTCTTTCTTGAATTGCCCTGCCTTCAAAGATTCAACTAGTATTTGAAAGCAAAACAGTGAAAGCAATTAAGGTTCTAAAATGAATAATTGTTATATCACTTGAAAGCAGTGATTCTCAGCTGGGGTCTATTTTGCCTCCCATAGATATTTGGCAATGGCAGGAGACACTTTTCATTAGCCCAGGGAGGGGAGGCGATGGTATTACTGACGTATAATAGGCAGACCAGAGATGCTGCTAAGCATCCCACAATGCTTCAGGATGGCCCCCACAAAAAGGATTACCTGATCCAAAATGCAAATGTGCTGAGAGTGAGAAACTGCTTTAAAGAATTCACCGTGGACATTGTACATGGACTTCTGCACAGTATTTTTTTTGGATCAGAGGCATTTCTCATAAGTGTGTAACTTGAGACGTATATTGAATAACTGATGTTTGTTTAGTGAGTGCATATATATAAAGCAATCTTTCTTAGGTATTTGCTTAGTAACCGTGAAGCATAAGGATTAGTGGCAGATTTTCTAACATTCCTTTTGTAGGTTATAATGTCAAGTACACTATTGCTACACTCACTCCTATGCCACCTGGTGTGGAGAGTGGGCTGAAGAGGTGACAAGTAAAGAGAGAAAGTATTACTAATTAGCAAGACTGAGACTAGGATAAGGCAAGCCAGGGTTCTAGACATCTCACTCTTAATGAGTCACTCACAGACTTGTACTTGAAGGAATATGGAGAGCAAGTGCCTCTTTAATTTTTTAAATATGGTAATATACACATAACATAAAATTCACCATTTTAACCATTTTAAAGTATGCACCCTAGTGCTTGGTATTAGTTCATTCTCAATATTATGTAACCATAACCACTATCTAGTTCCAGAAAACTTTCATGACTCCAAATAGCCATTATGTCCTAGTTACTCCAGATCTCCCCCCTTACTCCAGCCCCACTAATCTGCATTCTTTCTCTTCAGATTTGCCTATTCTGGTTATGATATATATATATATATATATATATATATATATATATATATATATATATATATCATAGGTGTCATATCATAGGTGGCCTTTATATCTGGTTTCTTTCATGTAGTGTAATGTTCTCAAGATTCATCCATGTTGTAGCCTTGTCAATACATACTGCCTTCCTCTTTATGGCTGAATAATGTTTCATTCTATGAATATTGTTTAGCCAGTCACCAGTTGATGGACAATTGGGTTGTTTTCACCTGTTGGCTATTGTGAATAGTGCTTCTTTGAACATTTATGGATGAGTTTTTGTTTGAACACCTGCCTTCATTTCTTTGGGTATGTTGGCTAGGACATGAAATTCATGGGTGACGTGACTTAACATTTAACCTTTTGAATAAGTTCCAGACTTTTTCACAGCATTTTACATTCCCACCAGCAATGTATGAGGGAATGTCTCCAACACTCTCCCTTGTTATTTTTTACTTCTTGAATTTCAACCATCTTAAAGTGGGGATGAAATGGTATCTTGTGATTTTGATTTGCGTTTCCCAAATGACTGATGACACTGAGGGTCTTTCCTGTGCTTGTTGGCCATTTGCGCCTCCTGAAACTTAGCACCCTACACATCTCCCTTGCTTCAGCCTGATCCCAACACCGCTAATCAGCACCTGACATCAAATACAAGCCGCCTCATAAGCAGGGTGGAGTGAAACAGGAAGTCATATAGTTTTGTTTTCAAATGCCACTTTTACTAAGTATGGGATTTCTTTCTTCAGTTGAACCAGACCCTCCAATGAACCTGACTTTGGAATTAAAACATCCAGAGGACCAGAAACCATTCCTGTGGGTAAAATGGCGTCCACCCACCCAGGTTGACATAAGATCTGGTTGGCTCACACTACAATACGAAGTTCGATTAAAGCCTGAAAAAGCAAATGAGTGGGAGGTGAGTCAACCATGAGCATTTGGAAGGAACCATGTCCTTTGACAAAGATGAAACCCTTGCTACGGGGAACAAGTCATTCCTCCCAACTACTGGGCATCATGTTGCCCTCCTGACACTGATGTGGAAGGGCCTTCTCCCCCTCCCTTAGGACTGATGGGGTGCGTCTTCACAGCTCTCCCAAGGCTAATTCCTTCTTTGCACTGAACAATCTCTTCCACCAGGTTTCCAAACCACCTCCCTCAGGATATCATAGATCTAGACACCTATGAGAGCTTTTCAATGGCACTAAAGGGGAGGAAAATATCTCAGTGTAACCAGTTAATGGCCAGTGGTATTTTTATTCACTTCACATTATTTTAATGTAAATAAATAACACAGAAGCCCTGGCCAGGTAGCTTGGTTGGTTGGCATGTCGTCCTGATATGCCAAAGTTGTGGGTTCAATCCCCAGGTAGGACACATATAAGAATCAACCAATGAATGCATGAATAAGTAGAACAACAAAATCAATATTCTCTCTCTGTGTCTCTCAAATAAATATTTTAAAAACAATAAATAATACATTAAATTATAGGCATTATGATGTTCCACTTTAAGTACTTTAGGTCAGTGGTCAGCAACTGGTGGTCCACAGACCACTGGTGGCCCGTGAGTTCTGAAAGGCTGGCAACCACTGCTTTAGATTGTCTCTTTTACAAAGGAAACATTTTTAAACATAGACAAAATATGAAAATCAGACATTGAAAATTAACTAAAATTTTTACATAATTCAAATAGCCTGTCCATATTTTAGTTCTGCCAATTGCTTCCAAAGAATGTCTTTAATGGTAGTTTGTCCAGACCAGCATCCATCCAAGACAATGCACGTGACTGGCTGTTAGGTGCCTTAGTTAGTTTCAGTCTCAGTGTGGTCAGGAGACCAGGCTCTTTGTGCATGGAGTGCTCTCTCTTTTGCATTAATCTGATTAGTTCTTTGTGAGGTCATTTTGCTAATTTCTCTGCCTCTGTATTTCCTGTAACCAGACATTAGAATTGATTAGATTTGGGTTGGACAATTTGGGACAAGAGTACTTCAGAGGTGACATTATATTACTTCCTGTCACATTATGTCAGGGGGCACAAACCATCTGGTTAACCTCATAAATGACGCTAAAACTGACCCCTGGGTTAGGGGTCAACCTGGTCATTGTGAAGTCACATTTAATCTGTGCACTGTTGTGTCAACATACATCCCAGTTCTCTTCCACCTAGTGGCTTTACTTGAATGATCCTTGAATCAATTACTTCATTGGGGTTCACAAAATAACTGTTTTTACGATGTTATTAACTGGTTACCTTCTGTAAAGTAGAATTTTGAAGGCAGTGGGAAGGATGCAGAATATTTGTCTTTCTGAAATAGAGTTCCAATGGAGAGGTAGAAAACCTGTTAATTTTTGTGTGAACTATGTTTCAGAGCGAAAAGGGATGGGCTGAGAGGGCGGAATGAGGAGAGCAAGGTATCTACTAAGTCTGATCGTCTGGCCTCACTCCTCCAATAGTTTCTTCTCCAAGGGAAAAGTCTGTTTCTTCAGAACACAAGTCAGAGTGACTTCTGTTTTCCTTGCTCCTCCTTAGGTTCATTTCGCTGGGAAGAACAATCAGTTTAAGGTTCTCACCTTATATCCAGGGAGGAAATACCTTGTCCAGGTTCGCTGCAAGCCAGACCACGGATTATGGAGTGAATGGAGCCCAGAAAGCTCCATTCTGATACCTGATGGTGAGTGTCTTGACTACATTTTGCTTATATCATTAAATATTTTTAGAATAGAATGGATATAGTTAATTTGAATGTCATTACTACAAAATAGAAACTATTTTTAGCCTTAGTAAGAGGAATGAGTAGAGGTATGACTTTTTCCACCCAACACAAAGACACTTGGAAGTGTAGCAGTGTTGGGGTCACTGTCGGTGAGGACCAGTTTCTAAAGCCACAGACATAGGCTTGGTGTGTGTCAGAGGGCTTAGTGGTCATTCTGCCTTCCCCATCTGCCCATCCCTGTCATTTAGTCAAGGTCATCATCTAGTTCTCCCAGAATTTGTAAGGTGCTATGCCATCATAAGGGTCTAAGTTGAACTGGTTTTCAGTCTCTCATGTCGATTCCATGTTGGTCCTTAGTTAAGGCACACTATGTGAGAGGCCCATGATTCTAACAGTGTCATTACCCATGGTGCCTTGTAGTTCACAAAAGAACGATTCATCTTGCATTTCCCAAGTACTTTATGGTTTACAGTCTTTCTCTTGTTTGGGCCTCCCAACCCTTACAGGTATTCAGAGAGAATATAATTACCATTAAGAATTAAAAATGAGGAAACTGAAATTCAGCAGTGAGGTCTGAAATCTTGCCCAGAACCAAGTGGCAAAGCCTAGTGTTTGTGACAACTTGCCTGGCCAGAGTATCAGGATTTGCACCGGTTTGACTTACTGGAGAGAGCTGTGGGTCATAAAAGATGTTCATGCATCCTGTCCAGCCCTGGCTCTCACTTCATAAAAGCACAGAGTCTACAGGCAGAAGGTCTGGATTCAAATCCCCGACTATGGCCTTATAGTCACATGCTAACGAGTAAATCTTATATTAGAGCCTCATCTTTGCATGCAAGGCAATGTATGTAAAGAGCTTAATACCGTCAATGGCTTTTAGTAAGAACTTAAGTGTTACCTTTTATTATTACTGCAACTGACCAGGTGACCTCGGCTTTCCTCTTTAAGTAGCAAATGAAAAACATGTAAAAGGATTTTAAAAGTACAGATGACTATAAAAAAAAAATACATGGAACCCATGAAAATGTAATATAATAGAATTGGAAAAATTAGCCCAGCATGAATGTTACTCTGGATTGCTGTCCAAATCAAAAGAGTGTGTGTAGGAAGGGGGATCGGGGGAGGCCTTACCTTCAAAAGGTTCATTCATTTGCTTTGTTTGTTCGCCTGTATTTAATGATGCTGTATGTGATGAGAGCTTTCTGGCTGTTTCTTTTTAGATCCCACCAATGCAGACCCCACCGTGTGGATCTTTGTGGCTGTGCTTTCTGTTGTCGTCTGTCTGATTATAATCTGGGCAGTGGCTTTGAAGGGCTATAGGTACTTCATTGTCTATCAACCTTCCTCCCAACCATGTTTTGTGGGATAGTGGTTTTTTAAAAGGTGAAAGCGAGATGATGGAAACTTACATATAATTCAAGCACCTGATTTTAGCCATTAGCTTCAGTGTGCTACCCATAAGAAAACCTTGTCAGTACCAGCAAAAGTCGCAGAATGAGCTCATCTGAAGCTGGTTGGTGCTCTTTCCATCAAACTGAGGCTTGCAGTTGAAAAATAGTTTAAAAAAAAAATCTGCCAAGAGCAGCTAAAATCAAGAGGAGCAACTAGTGCACATAATCCACTAATTTGCAAATCAGCCCCTCAGTCAGCCAGAGCTAACTTTGCTGTTGGCCTCTATAATTATTGTCTTCAGCATGGATTGTCAATTTCATGTAGCACCGCCCCCCCTCCTGGCCCCAGCTTTAACTCCTCTCTACCATAGTCCATGTAGCAGCTATTTATAGGTAATACTAACCTTTTAGAAATTACAAGTTATCAAGTGAGTCATTTTTTCTCTCTCACGAATTATTTTACAGCATGATGACCTGCGTTTTCCCACCAGTTCCCGGGCCAAAAATAAAAGGATTTGATATCCATCTGCTGGAGGTAAGTACCAGAGGTGGAGCATGTATCCTGCCTCACTGATCTATAATAATGACCTCTACACATGCACACACAGTCCCATCTGTTAGACCTGGCTGCCTCAGTTACCCTTGCCCCACTGTCCCTCCTCTTTTGAGAAAGATGCATGAGGCCTGAGGGTCCTTCCTAGGAGACATTAAATGTCAGAGGGAAGAGAGAGAAAGACAAGAAAATAAGACAACACACAGTCATGCTCTCTAGACTTACCAGATCTATTCATAAGCACAGCTGTGAGCATTTTGTACAAATAATCAATTTAGAAAAGAGGTGAATATTTTGTTTAATACAAAAGAGGGACCTACCACCCCCCTGCCCTATGGTGCAAGCTTTTACTTGAATGTTCTTTACAGAAGGTCATGGTGACAGAATAGCCTGCTGCAGTGTTGGCTCTGTTTGGGCCCACAATTGAGACTGGGTCAGTGCAGTGGGCTGATGTCTACCAAGGCCCATTTAGGCTGATTCAAGTGGGAATTAAATGTGTTTTGAATGAAACATTGTAAATTTTTCTGCAGGTTGAAATATGTAGTTTCTATTTGACCTTAAGTTTAACACTGACATGATATATATATATATATATATATATATATATATATATATATATATATGCAGTTAACTTTGCAATATATCATTTGACCTAGCCACTATGAGGCTAACAGTACAAGAATGTGAGAAGTGAGTCCTGGAGAATTTGGCTTGACTGCATTCACTTTGACTGCAAATATCATAGCAGGGACTCAGGCCCTGGAATTTGGGTTCCTTGTTCAGTGCTTTCACCCCACTATCCTTTAAAAACCAGCATGAACATCTCAACTCACTAAATTAAGAACTATTTGACCTTGCGGTCATGGGAGCTTAATGGAAAAAAAAATAACTTCTTTTTTGTGTCACAAACACAAAAAACGTTGTTGTTTTCTCTATTACATGACCTCCAATCCTCAAAAGAACTCTCCCATATGACACTATTATTCCCATTTTACAAATGGAGAAACTGAGAACCACTAAGCAGCTTGTTCAAAGTCAGTACCCATTAGTGAGTGAAAAAGCCATGATTTAGACTTCTGTACCTGACCTAAGTCAGAGGATCATAAAGAAGAGTGGCAAGTAAGAGGAAAAGGCAAAAGGAGGAATGAGGGAGACAGAGAAGGAGGAGGGAAAGGAAGAACAAGAGGGGAAAATATGTACTACAGGAAGAGAGGGGGAAGAGAGAGAGGAAATGGAGTAGAGAAAAGAGAAAAGGAGGATGGGAGAAGAAGAGGGCAGAAAGAAGGAATGACGAAGTAGGAAGAGGAGGAGTTGGAAGGAGGAGATGAGAAGCAGCTCACTGCTTCCAGACTCGAGAAAGTGGTGGAGGAGGTTAGGAGGTCAATTACCAGATCTTAGAACCTCTGAGTCCCAGAGTAAACGTTTCTTCTTTAACAGTTATGTTTCTCACCTGTGCATATGCTACTTGCCCATTAAACTCATAATCATTATTGCTTAGAGACTAAGTTAAAATCATGAATTGACTTAAAGAAAAATATTAGATGAATAGAAGTCTAGGAGGTGATTATTGCGGGCCTGTTTGGGAAATGTCTAAAGTTTGGGAAATGCTGCTAGACCATTATAGCTTCCAGCTGCCGTGGCCATGAGCACAGCTGCACTTTGATGCTGATGTGGAATGTTCTGAAGCTCACAGCCATTCCTTCTGTGTCTTTGTTTTAACAGAGGGGCAAGTCTGAAGAACTGCTGAGTGCCCTGGGGTGCCAGGACTTCCCCTCTGACTGTGAGGACCTGCTGGTGGAGCTGTTAGAGGTTGTTGACAATGAGAACCAGCAACTGGTGCCGGTCCATTCAAAAAAACACCTTGATCAAGGTCTTAAGCCCAAACACCTGGATCTCGACAGTGACTCTGGCCAGGGCAGCTGTGACAGCCCTTCCCTTTTGTCCAGCCATCATGAGGGGCCCCAGGAGAGTCCCTCCACCTTCCACACTCCTGAGGGCGCTGAGAAGCCAGAGAACCCTGGAAAAAGTGGAGCCCACACCTGGGACTCTCAGAGCACCAGCGTGGGGGGCAGAGTCCCCTATTTCTGTGCTGATGGACCCAAATCTTCCACATGGCCTTCATCACAGCCCCCCGACCCCAGATCTTCTTACCACAACATCGCCGACGTGTGCAAGCTGGCCATGCCCCCGGCAGGCTCCACTGCCACTGTGCTGGACAAGACAGACACATGTGCTCCGACGTCTTTGGAAACCACTGAGACTGGAGCAGGGGAGGAGGCGACCGAGCAGAGAGGGGTGGAAAGCTTCCATTCCCAGACTGACCCAGACACCCCATGGCTGCTGCCCCAGGAGAACACCTCCGATGTCTCTGCTAAACCCTTGGATTACGTGGAGATTCACAAGATCAATAAAGACGGGGCGCTGTCCTTGTACCCCAAACAAGACGAGAATAGCAACCAGGCAGAGAAGCCCGGGGCTCCCAAGGCCAGCAAGGAGTACGCAAAGGTGGCCGGCGTGATGGAGAGCAGCATCCTGGTGCTGGTGCACGAGTCGCCCGCCCCCGACCTGGCTTTGTTTGAAGAACCAGCCGAGGAGGCCCCCCCATCCTTGCAGCAGAACCAGGAGGAGAAAGACCGGGCCGCCTTCGCCATGGCACCCAGCACCTGCAAACTGCAGCTGGGGGGGCTGGATTACCTGGACCCTGCGAATTTGAAGGACTCCTTCCAGTGACGGCTGACTCATTGGGATGGCCGGTTAAAATGTGATTTTTCTTCAGGTACTGCTATCGCGCACATGGAATGTACTTTCCTAGAGAACGTTCGAGAATGGGGTTCAGATGACACTACTAAAACTCACAGTTCTCTCTTCTTCATGCTCCATTTTCAACCAGTGGCCTCTTCCTCCAACAGCTGATTCCGGATCGGATCATTCTGTTTCCTGTGATTTGTGGATCTAGTTTTTGTTTTCAGTTATAAAACTGCATGTTCGATGCAATAGAAGCACCATTGCTCAGTGTTCCTGAGGGACTGTGCCAATAGGGAAAGCCTCCAGAAAAGGCGCCCGTGGTTGGGCATGGGACAGGAGGATATGAAGGAGTTAGAGTAGCTTGGCGCAGGAAGATGATCGATGTGAGAAGGATGCCATGTAAGCTGCTTTTGAAAACCAGTTGCTTATCCTTTGCACCCCTCTCCCATTTTATTAGGATTAACCAAATACAGCTCCGTGCCAGAAAGGATGCATTCTGGGACCTGACACACCATTTACACCATTTCCTGTTACCTTAGTGACACGTTGCTGGGATGCACCTAACAATCTTGCCTCCATCTCTTTTTCTTAAAACAGTTGGAATCTGGTGAGCAAGGATGCTCCTCTCCCACATCATGTTTCATCCTAAAGTCTCTAAGAATATAGTTTTGGAGAGTGAGGTTTCCTTACATGGGAGGCAAATGAGTTTGACGTGGTGAATCCTCCTAAAACGGTTTCCTGCTTCATTTCAATACGACAGATAATTTATTATACACCCTAGTCTTCTCCTAGTGGGAAAAAAACAAAACAAATCCCCAAGGATTAACTTTAATTTCAAAACTAACCACAGCAAGATGGTCATGGAGATACTGCCTTACTGTACATACAGATTCTACTTTAATACCAGACCCGTATGTTTAACAATGTATTTTTGAAGACTATTTTTCTACCACTCGGCGAAGTAAAAGAGTATTTTCTATCTTCCCAGTACAGCTGTTTACGTAGTCAGAGGGCACCGTCTTTTCTGCCGAGGCTGCAGGGAGCATGGGCAGTCCACGACAGTATCCGCAGTCCCCATTTGGGGAGCAAATGTCATATCAACAGGAATGTGAAGTGGGTGACAATACTCAATTTCCAATACAGCATAGTTTAGTTTATCTCGTTCTTTTATCTCCAGATACATTAAATGTCAACCACCAATAGCGTGTTAGGACTCTCCACACACAGAATTATTTCTCCTGTAATTTAGAGCTAATCTGGGGCTCCTGGGTGAACATTCTAGAAGCTATCAGGAAAAAGGAGGGTGGTGACATCCAGCATACTGTTTTAAAGAGAGGGTTTTGTTTTGCTTTGTTTTTCTGAGCAATCTTGGACAGCAAAGATATTTTCAGCGAAGCCATGAGTTAGTTATCTCTCTGGAGTAGATCCATTTGCAAAATCTTGGCAGAAGCAGAGAAAATACTCACGTCAGAAGTTTCCAAATAAATGTTTTAAGAAACAGCATCTGTGGAGTGGTGGGCACAGCAACAAAGACCAGGGTCTGGTAGTAAGGATCTCTGAGTTAGTGCTAGGAGCTGGCTCCCCAGGAGGGATCAGAAGCCTGGATCTCCATCTTACAGAGAGCGTCCATAACTCATGAGCTGCCTCCCTCTCTTGTTTATTTCACCTGATGCCAAATACTTTCCCTGTGTCCACTCACCAGCTGGACTTAGAGAATTTGAGCTCACCTCTGTGAGTTAAGTATTTCATCCAACAAGCCCATGTTGACAGAAACTGGACACAGAGGTGACCTGATGTTGGAAAGTGAACACACTGTCCTGGCGTCCGGATTGCAGAAATAACAGACCTGAGGCTCTGTTCTCCCAATACATAAACATCGTAAGAGTAAGAGGAACATTTGGAAAAGTTGTCCCCAAGTTCATCCTGTCTCCTAGATCCTTGCTACTCAAAGTCTGGTCTGAGGACCAGTTGTGTCATCATCACCTGGGCGCTGCATGGAAATGCAGATTCGGCCTCCCTGGCCCAGAATGACAGAGTCATTACCTGCATTTGACTAAGTTCCCCAGGTGACCCCTGTGGGTAATGAAGTTTGAGGAGTACTGCCTTACATGATTACTTCCACGAAAAGCTTATTTTAGCAACTGGACACACCTCTCTTGGAAAGTACAAGTCAAGTCTGTTTGACTTACCCCAGACAATGCTGTATGGAAGGAGAAGGCATGGGTTTTAAAAATCTATTTGAGCTTTAAGATTCACAGGATGGTACAGAATGACCTGCGGAAGGACACACAACTTCTAATAGGGCCAAGGGATGTAGTCCACCTTGAGTAGCATTGACCAAGACTCTACCCTTCAAAGCCAATGCAGACTAAAATGTTCCGCAAATAGTCCATTGTTCTCCAAGATGTATTAGTCTATCAGTCACTCTGGTAGCTTGCAGATTAAAAAGTAATCTGATTTTGGTATTCATAAAAAAAAGTTATGGGTAAAGATTTAAGTTGAACTAAATTTTTATGAAAACACCAATTAGCCACTCACTAAGTCAAGCCAAGTCTATATTTCTTTGTCAGTTAGGACTCTATTTTAATTAATGTTTTTTCTATGGGTAGAATATTTCCTTTCAAGAAAAGAGCTAGCCGAATGGGAAGATGCAGGTTGGGGGTCAGGAGTCCCAGGCTCTAGTGCTAACTATCCCACACTGAACAGATCAATTCCCCTCTCTGAGCCCCCATTTCCTCTGAAAGAAATATTGGTCCAGACAAACTCTAATGTCCTTTTAAATTCAACTCCCTGACTCCATGGCTCACTGGCCATTTTCTAGCCAAGATAATTTAACCAGTAAATGCCTTGTATCCTGCAAACAAATAACTGCCCTTCATCATAGGAATGCAAGTACTCTTCCATGATGTGCTGATCATTTCCTTTAAAATCATCAGTTCCAGCTTGTGCTAACACACCACATGTGCATTTTATAAATTACATAGGCACAGAATCACAATCTCAGGTTGTGCACAACAAATATGTGTGTAGAGAGAAGAGGCGTGAGATTCTTTAAAAAGACATTTTGAATGAGGCTCTACTTTTTAGAGAAATGATCTTTGGCTGAATCAAGCCATGCTTATTTCTTGCTGAGTCCAACAGCCCTAAATCTCCTCTCTTATAGCCGGCTGCTGATTCTGACATTTTTCTCTCTCTTCTAGATTACCTACCAACATTGCACAGTTGGTGTCATTTTCTGAATTATGGAAAATCATATTTTTATAAACAAAAGCTTAAATATTCATGTTATGAAGCACATGGAAGCGGGATAGCCAGTGGGTCATTTATGGAAGCTTGTGGCCCAAAATGCACATGGGCTGTGGCCGGCTTTCACAAATGGGTATTAGGCACCTCAACATGAGCACAAGGTCCTCTCAGCCATGTCATTGCCAATTAGCTGACTCTTCTTTCCCCGAAGTGCCTCAGGCCAATCCTGGGAGGCAGTTACAGATTGCAAACTTGCTTTCACTGGTTTAGCCCAAAGTGGGTCCATTCCTTAGTGCCTGCTCTAATCAAGGAGTTTGACTGCTTTTCCCATAATGACCCACAGAATGAGGGAGTCCTGTGAGTTAAGGAGCGGCCCGAGGCTGTGGAGGAAACCTGGCTCTTTCGCTGGCTGCCCGCTGCTGCCCATCACTTCCAGAAAGAGGTGGCCCTGCCCTTAGTACAGTCCCTATCTCCCTAGAGTAGGCGAGAAAGAAACAGATTTGTACCCATCCTACAAAGTGCCTTTCTTTACTTTTATATGTTTTTAAGTTTCCTTTTCACAAAAAAGAAAAAAAAAAGTGTATTAAATGGAAAGCAAACTTTCCTTTTTTATGTAAATGAATGAAGAAGCCAAAATAGAATGATGAAATGGTCTAAGGTCCAACCAGCAACTGCCCAGAGGCCTTTTAAATGTATTGTTTAACTGAAGGACCACAGAGTCGATGTGAATCATGTGACTGACTTTGATAAGAAATTGACTCTGGCTAGGGTTTAGGGAGTCAACCTGCCACACCCAGATCAACTGACAAGCATATTGATGCCCGTAGGCATGGCTGTGAAGTGAATGCCTGGACCTGAACAGGCGGTGCACACACTGTGCATAGGCAAGGAAATGGAAAGGACTCGGGTTGCTCCCGTGCTTGCTCATGCAGATTTCCCGTTGATAAAGGCGCCGAGTGTACATCAGTGAACACATCTCCTGCTCTGCCTTTTCAGCAGCGGCACAGCTGTGTTGTTGCTTGGGTGGTGGCTGAGCGTTCAATTTCCAGGTCTCGGGCACATAGGTATTTTTTAAATGTGATAAAGAAGCTTTTAAGAGAATGCTGTGGGACGTTAGTCAAATAGAACAGGCTGTTGACTTGATACAAATCCTTTAAACTCTAGCCACCATTTTCCTCACCTGTGAAATATGTGGGCTGGCCAAAGACCGTGTTACAACTCTAACCATCTCTGATTTCCGTGATCTAAGTAAAATCTAGTGTTTCTGGTGAAAGGCCCAAGTACAGTCAGAGAAGCATGGTTGGTGTGCCCTTGATCTGAAGCAGTGAATAGTGTGGCTGGAGCAATGCTTGAGGGAAAAACAGAGATCCATCCCTCCATGTCAGATGGACATGATTTAGCATCCTTGCTTCTCTTATTAATTGTCCATACTTGTAGGCTTTCTTCTCTCACTGCAGGGCCTATAGTTTACCTAGGAGTTACTCATGGCTGTAGCAACTTTAGGAACTGAAAGAAAGAAAAAAAAAAAAAACAGAAAAAAAAAAACACCTGCATTATTCCTAAACAATGACTATGGCTCTGCAAAAGGCTGAGTTAGGTGTTAAATCAGCCACCCAGCCATCAAGGCCCAGGTTGAGGGTCACAAGTAACTTAAGTTGGAGATTTGCACGCTTAGAGATTCTAGCTCTATTCATTAATTACTAAATTAATTCCAAGACAATTCATAAATCCAAGCGGCATGGACAGCTTGGTCCAGGAGGCCTTCAACAGAAACTTAATGCTATAGAATGATGGCCAAGGGCCGGTGGTCTCGCCAGGAGTTCTATGTTTAAGTATGGCTTGGATGTGTCCCAGGATGTGCGAATCACGTGGGAGTTCTCTCCTCAGACTGGTGTTTTTCAGGAAGGTGAATTTTGGCCTGAGATCCTCATAGTGTCTATTTCAAAGAAAGGAAAAAGATCGAAAATAGAACATGTTCAAAAGTTTGGGCATCTCAGGAGTCCATTAAGTGCTAAACCCAAATTTTATGAAACCTGGTGAATCGATTACCTACATAACCCACAACACCATAGGCCCCGTGGATTTCTTTGGCCAATGCTCTGATTTCAAGTCAGGATGAGTTGAGACGTGCAGGGTGGTAACACATATCCCATTTATGTGACTTTGGCCAATGAACAGAGAGAGACCTTGGATAGTTGTCGTCTATTAGTTAAGTTCCACCTGCTTCTGATTAAACAGGGGGGAAAATTAACTCTCAAAACTTTGGCTACAGAAGTAGTAATATCAAAAAACAATGTTTAATAGTTGTGGTCAAATTATGCGTCACCTGGATAAACTTCAAAATATAGCCTGAATTTTTCCACGCAAATTTTACAAGTCCTGGAGGGAAATAAAGCGGTTTTTGTTATGCTATCTGAAATTGGAAAACTACATGGCAGAGGTACTTCTGAGAAATAATTTGTTTCATAAAATTCCTGATGAAATGATTTTTTTTTAATTTTTCCAAGTAACTACCTCCCCTTCTTGTCCTTTCTTCAAAGCTGCTTATTCTTAGAACGAAGGATGTCATGTCTCATGCTTTGACTTTTTCAGTGGTATATTTGTTGTATTTGCCATGTGATATTCCTGACTTTAAAGTAACTATTATATTATTTTACATTATAATGCTTTATGTGGTACAAAAACTCTATGACACATTGAAATATATAGTCAATCCTCATGTTGTAAGGATAAAAATTCATGTTACACAATGAAAATAATTATTTAATGACTTACAATCTATTCATATGTGGTTTCAATATGATTGTGTCTGTGTCTGTAAAACAAAACCGAAGGAAATATGTAATCATATAATTCTGTTGAAACCGTGACTACACTAATTTTTTTCTTAATCTTTGTGTAGAAGTAGTATAATATGCCATTTGTACAGCTGGGCTGGGGTCTTAAGTGTTTAGAGTACAACCAGGAATTGTTTGAAAGTCAACCAAGCCCTCAGCTTTGCTTCCTGTGACCTCTTCTTGAGAGTTATCTGCAGCACAAGGCCTGCTTTTGCGCTTGATCCTTCATTCTTAAAAAATTTCAGTCTGCTGTGGAAACCAAAGCAATGTCGAAGCATCCTGTGTCTTCTGTAAAGCCATACTGAAGAAAAGACTGTGTAATAGTATCAAGTTCCACATTTTCAAAGCTACCACTACCTCTGCTTTGTCTCTTTCCTAGAAAATGCCAAGCAGAATTCTTCACCATTAAGTGGGAAATGAGAAGCGATTGTTACAAAAACTGTTGGATAGGTTTGTTTGTTTATTTGTTTTCACGTGAGACTACACCTTCTAACTCACCATTTTGCAGGTTTATGCTAGGTTGTCTCAAGAGCCATTTTTACATCTACTAAAAACTGGATAGTGAATAAGGACCAGAAAGAACACATAGTAAGTCACTGGTGGAAAACCAAAAAACCAGAGAGCAGACTTTTTTCCTAACTATAAATCATCTGTTGCCCAAAATCATGATGATGTTCTCTCTCACAATTTGATTTCCCTAATTCCACGTAGAAATAAATATTTTCCTTATTTGATTTTAGACATTAAATATATTGTGGTATAAGAAAAGTCAATCATATATCATAACTAATCTTATTCCAATTTTTTAAATTTATTTCTACATGTACTTATTATAATGGCGACTGTACTTCTTTTTAGCCTTAAAGAATTATAGATGATAATCATCAAACCTGCATTTTTAATTGTGTAAATCTTTGGTCATTGAACCTTGTGCTTTCTGTTCTCAGTGGATTTACTCCTTTGTCTCTTTCCATTTTGAGGAGACACGTGGACAGTTACATCTTTGTCAATTGTATGGGAGATTATGCTAACTGCTGTTATCCTAACATCTTCATCTTTTCTGCACGCCAAAAAACAATGCTTGCCAAACAAAATCGTAGATGTCCCAGTACAATACGGTCATTCTGTTTCTATTCATGTTATTGAAAATTCCCAGCTCAGTGCCTGGCTCAATAAATGTTTATTTCCCTTGACTACCCTTCCTCTATTTTTTTATTTTTTTGACATGGAAGTGAGTAGAATATCATGTGTGTGGTTGAAGCAACTTTCTTGAGGAATGTTTGCTGCAATCGGGTCTGTTTTCCAGAAATTGTTGGTATAAGTTGAACCAAATCACTTTTCCTCCTTTATCGTCATCCTTCCTCATGACTACAAA